CTGTAGTATGATAGACTAACTTGTACATTAAATAATAGGGCAGGCCGGCGGCGGAGGGGAACGACAAGCACGAGCTTGTCCAGAACCCACGCCTCTGGTCAAGCTCGCCCCGCTTATTCTAGAACCGGTTCCCACTAGCCCGTATCTAGTTAGGAGCCGAGCGGGCAGGGGACGTGCGAGCACGCGAGCGAGCCTAGATCCGCCTCCGCCCGTCAGCGCTGGTACGTCACCCAGCGCTGCGCCGGGGCGTCGAGGCGTAGATCGGCCTGCGCGTGCGCGCGTCGCCGACCGTACCCGCTCTACCACCGCTACCCGGGCTCGCCCGGTTCCGTTAGCTGGGGTTGCTTCCCTTCTCCGGTCAGGGTCTAGCAGGACTGTGCATACACCCCCTCGACGTTGGGGTGTTTATGCTACAGGGAAGGCTGGCAGGACTACGAAGTCCGCCGCAACAAGTTCGCCCGCCTCGACCCTCCACATCGGGGAGGATGAGTGGCATGCCGTCCCTGTCCTCATTACGCAAGGAGGAGGTCCCGTGGGGGGACGACCCCCCTCACCAATGTCGACCGGAACGACATCGAGTTACGCGACCGCCTTCGCGGCCACTCCAAGAGTGGCAAGGGGTACGGACCCCCGGGTCGCAGAGCTCGACATCTCGAGTCGAGATGCAGGAGCCGAAGCCCCTCGCGTACCCTTCCTCACCGATGAGGAGGCACGTCACGCGGCGACCTTCGCCTCAACGGATGGCAGGGCGTACGTGCGCTGGCTATGCCGTACGTACGGACACGCCATGTACGCGTGCCCGTTCCTGTCGCCGGAACAACGGATGTTCACGGCGTACAGGAACTACCGCTACCAGATGGAGACGCGCCCCGGTGCGCGTAATCTCCTCCGGCAAGCGGCCGGCGAGGGCCGTCTCCCGCGTCAAGGTTTCCCGAACCGATCGGGTTGGATTGCTAGGAAGGCGCCCCGGGGAGGCCGGTACCGTCGTAACGAAGTCGATCGTCGGGATCGACCCGCCTACCGGCACGCGGACACAAGGTGCCCCCGACAAGGAGAAAGAGGGGACCGAGACCGTTCTCGGTTACCCCAACAGGTACAAAATGCGATAATGTACCTGCAAGACTGGGTAGAAGATCCGTACCCTCTACCCACGGAGGGTCACGAAGGAGAGCCGACTCGCTTCGTCCCCCATATCCTGCGACGACCGGACGCCGCTGGTCAAGGCCTGGAAGTACCCGAGTACTTCGCCAAGGCCGCCGAGCCGCAGTGGGGGAATCGTCCCGACCCACGCGGCCGGCTACCCGAAGAAGACCTGGCCGTCGATAGCCAGGAGGTTAGCTCCGGTAGCACGGGTAGGTCGAAAAAAGGGTAAAGACGGTTACGTACACGCGGTCGCGTGAGCCGTTTTTTCCCCACGAACTAGACCCGATCCAGCGTGCTCGCCAAGGACACGGGGGGTATTGTCCGATAATACATCCCCCGCTTCCGGAGGCGGGCACGGGAGCTCCTGTAATGCCGATACAGAAGGGAGCGCACGTCGAGGCCTCCGAAGGCCCGACGTTAGGAGGACAGGACACCAGGACAGCCGACGTCCCGGTGAGGCGTAACGATGGCGACGGAGGCAACGACGACCGAAAAGATTCGGTCGACCCCCTGACTCCCGCGAGCCCAAGGTCGACGGAGAAGGGTCCGTGTCGTACGGACTCGAATAATCCGAGGGGCGTCACTGATCCGCGGACGCCCCAAGAAAGGGGGAGAAGGAAACGCAAGCGGGACCAGCACCGAAATCGAAGGCCCCAGCGGAACGACCTCACCGATAAGGCCGCCCCGAAGGTTGTCAACGGCGACATTTGCCTTATGACGTCGAAGATTTACAACGTCCTCGGCTCGATAGCCACAGAGGGAAATGCATATAAACCCCGCACGATCGCCTTTGATACGTGCTAGGGGTATAATCTGGTGAGGAAGGCCGAACTTCCCCCCGATTGGACGCATTACGTCCTGCACGACGCACCTCTGCCACGATTTATTCCGGGTCAACCGCTCTCGAGCAAAGTTAAAACAGAACCGATTTCCTAACTCCCAAAAATCTCGACAACAGTCCTACAGTCCCTTTCGTAGCAGTCTCAGTACTCAAACCGTGTGAATCGGCTGGCCACCTACTAGTCCAACACGACAACCCCTTGGCTGGTGAGGGGGTGTGCACTGGACCCCCAGTGATTGTGCTGGAGTGCCTCAACACGGCAACAGAAAATGCGAGTAGTTGCGAGCGCAGAGCCTGGAAGTGGGAGGCAAAGACGACGGTTGGTGTGTAGCACGGCCACAGCAGGCGTTGGCTTCGGTAGTAGCGGTGGCGGCACGACGGCGGGGTAGCAGCGGCGTGGCTCGGGGGGCGCAGCGGAGGCGTAAGCTAGGCAAAAGCAAGACCCGTAAGCAGCGGCGCAGCGGCTGGGAAGCAGCAGCGGCGGCGGGTGGCGGCGAGGCGGCGGCGGCGCACCAACGAGAGCCCTGTGCGGCAGGGCGGCGGCTTGCAAATAGCAGCACCGTCAGTGCGGGGCGGCGGAGTGGCAGCGTAGGGCCGGCAGCAGTGAGAGGAGTGCGCGGAGGCACGGCGGTTTGCTGAGTAGCAGCGGCCGACGCGCGGCGCCGCAGTGGCGGCGTACACGTCGTCGCAGCGGCGACGTAGAACCGACAGCAGGAAGAGCCGTGATCAGCGGCGCGTCGGGTTGGGAGAGGCTGTGGCGACGGCGCAATAGCGGCGCAGCAACGGCGTATGGCCGGCAGCAGCGAGAGGCGTGCGCGGCGGCGGGGCAGCTTGTGAGAGGCAGCAGCGTCGGCGCGACCGCGGCGCAGCAGCGGCGCGAACCAGGTAGAATGAAGGCCTGTAGGCGGCGGCTTGCTGTTGGAGCAGCGGCGGCGGTGGGGCGGAGGAGCAGTGACGCGCGGCAGCATGAACAAGGGCGCGGCAGGAGAGCGTTGAGAAGCGAGCGGCGACGAAAACGGCGAGTCAGCGGTAACAGACCTGTGGCTAGTGATCGGTGGCGAGCAATCGATAAGCGAGCTGCGAAGGAGCTCCGAGCGAGCGGCGAAGTGCCGCCAGCCAGCCTCGTGCGGAGCGGCGAGCGAGCGGTGTCAAGAGCAGTCAGCGAGCGGCGAGGAACACACGAGCTGGGGGGATGGAGATACGCGAGGTGCCCCGAAAGAGTCGTGGCGGATCGCCGCCTGGCCAATGGAATGGTCTAACAAAAACGTAAGGGAAAAACGCGATTGATCAATGTGGGAATTGTCCCAGAAAAAGTTAAAGGAAGTATACTTCCTTTAACTTTTTCTGGGACATTAATAAACTGTTTAAACTATAGTTTAAACAGTTTATTAATGTCTAGAAGAGCCTACGACCGGCTCTTCAAACCCAACCGAACCTCCGGGTAATCGGAGCGCTGTTCGTGAAGGATTCTGCGTAGACACGTCTGTTCAAATCTGCCTCCGAGCAGACCCACGCGCTAGTCCCATGGGACTGTCCGTTATATACTAATTTACTGTAACCCTAAACAAGGCAAGTTATTTCCTCACCGTGTGACCCATTCACGTGGTGTGGTATATGTGGCATTCGAAGAAGCGACTAGAGCAGCGCCAAACGGAAGCCAGAATAACTGTATCTCGGGAAAGGTCTGAATGTTCTTCCCAAGCCTCTGATTGTCTGGAGGAAAATTCCGCGTCTCAGCGTCGCGGTGCAGCACGGAAACGAGGTTCCAGTAACTCAGAAAGGCAAAGGACGAGGTCTGTGAGAAGGCAGTTGTCATTAGAGCTATGAATGAGTAGTTAGAATAGCCCTGTATGTACGGTATACCGTACATAACGCAATTTACTGACATCATCGTGGTCCGGAAGTAGCAATTTTTTGAGCGATGTAAAAGGGGGTTGTAATTGTTCAACTTCGCTGAAACTTGGTAGACGCACTCTCCGGGCCGTTGGGTGTCTGACTTGCACCTGCAAAACCAACCACTCTCTACGTGATTGGTTTGGCAGGTGCAAATCAACGGACGTACTTTCGATGCCCCAAAGTTAATGTACGGTGTACCGTTGTAGGAACCGTATTTGTCATACCGGAAATAAATTGCATGTGGCAAGGACTCCCTTCGTACTAATATCAGGTGGATCGAGATCTGGTCGTGGCAAAGTATTCAGCATTAGCTGGCGTGTTTCGGTCTGCTTCACCCCCTGCCCGGTCTCTTTTCTTAGTCTACCCTCTGCAATCCGGTCCTTATATACCTCTTCGCACCTCTGCCTCTATCTATGTCGATGCGCTTTCCTTACAAGCTGCTTCTGCAATTGTCCCGACTTTGCATGCGCCTGTGCCGTTTTGCATTCATTCATGTGTGGATATCAATTCACTCCCACCGTCCTGCACTTTGTCTTTTGTCAATTGAGTTATGTCCTTTGGTGTGCTGCACCCTGCATTGACCTCATCTTTGGTCTCAGTGTCATCGTCTGTAGCGTCCGTGCATACGGATATTCCCTGCGTAATCATATGCAAACGCAGTTTGCTGTTCTCATCTCTGTGTACTCTTCATGTTCATTATTCTCGTCCGCGTCTCTTCGTCGCGCTGTGACTCCTCGGGTATCAAATATCTGCGTTCAACATCAACGGACCTTCCCGAACGGTTGCGACGTCCGACGGCGGTATGCGTTCTGTGCTCTTGCGAGTAATATCACTTTCATAATCAACGTATGCGTACGTGTTCCATCTGTACGTATTATTTCATTAAATACTTCCATATGTCGTGACGTGGGTCGATTCACAACCGTACATTAAAACATCACATTAGGGATATGAGAGACATTATGATAGAAATTTTCACAAGGACGAAGCGTACTATAGATACAGTATTTGGTTCTCACCGGTGGCACTGTTCTTTTTGAGATACTGTATCAAATTACCAAATAACCAAGCCACCAAATTCCCACCAGCCAATTGAGTTCTAGAAAAAACGTGCCAAGTGTTGTTGTTTGGTCATTTGATCACCTACCGGTGGTGATGCGCTTAGCCCAAAATTTTACTTTTAAACAGGCCAGTTTGCCACCACCCACACTTATTCGACGACCGAACAGTATAAATACACCACTGCTCCGCCCGGCGGTCTCCTGCTCTTCCTCTTTTCGGCTCGAATGATTCTTCTGGGTTTTTAACAGCATGATGATCGGGAAGAGGACGAGAACACCAATGTGTCTATCAGTCAACGCGTCCGCCCTCAGAAGCTTGCTTTTGCAAGAATGGGCCGCATGTATCCCTCTGAACGTTACCAACCCTTAAGATGACTTCGGCAATTGAAGCATCTTTGCCTCATGAAATTTCTAGATTGGCACTACTGCCGCAGATCTTTTACGGAAGTCTGAGGTTATTCTTAAACAAAGTCAGGTGCGAGGTGCTCGTAGTTGTGTTTCTTTAGCAAAGACGCTGATCGCTTAGTAGACATCAATAGCCACCTGAGGTACAGCTTGTTCACTTGCTCGTCATCAATGTCCGGGACAATAACTCCCTTTTCCCGCAGATGAAAGAGAGTCATGGCACAAGTTACAGAAATGTTAAAGCTCTGCGAGAAGCCGGACATGGGTATATACACTTTAACGTCCGCCTCATTGCGTAATGCCCAGCTGAGACCTCTTTCCTCATTGCCAAACATGACGCATATCTTCTCGAAACTCCCGAAGTCAACGTCAGATATTGGTACAGCATCGTCGTCCAAGCATGTTGCAACTACGGTGAATCCCTTTTCTTTCAACGCTGTAGTTGCATCGAGGCAATGTCGATATTTTTCCACTATCATCCACTTCGCAAACACCATTTGATAATCGTAGGTCTCGATAATTGTCAGGACTACGAACTTCACGGCAGTGCGCGTTGCAAATAGAACGATCCGAGAGGGACCGCAAAAGTTTGGAACAACATACCTTCTCTGCATTCATAGTGATACCTCCAGACACTTTGAAGGGTTCATAAGACTCCACCGCATGCGCAGTAAGGACACCAAAACCCTCCATTGTCCTCAGACACGCCGAGCCATTCGCCGGGTCATGGAGGTTTTCAAACAAGCACTGCACCCGCTTACTTCGCGCTGACAACACTTCTTCAACACGTTTGAGTCGAGAGGGCTTTATGACGCTTCGGAGTATTTCGAGTAGCTTTGTCTCTCGAACTCGCGTGCCATAAAGGCCAGTTGGTCCCCAGGAGCCATCATCGTTCTTTCTGATAGATGGTTGCTTCGCTTTTGGGACATGGGGGTGTAGCGAGCCGTTAATCTTCGCCCTCGGTAAGATTGCCTGGCTCTCTCCGTTCGAGGAGAGCGAGTCCTCATCGCCCATGTTTCCTTGACTTGCGTGACGGGTGAGGACGCTTCGGAAAGTGCTTGCAACGGAATTTCTACGCAGTCGAAAACAAGGTTGGCCTAATCGTATCATGACGCGGACAGTGAGGATAAATGGAAATCATGACTGACGAATTCTGCGCAATATTTTTCTGAATGTGTTCGTTTTGACTACCCCATCGACAGGCCCAACGCACATTCCGTTGCTGGACGAGTTTCTCTCTGCACGCCCTTTCGAATTTTCAACAAACCCGCAAAGTTACAAAAGCTGTACATCACCCGCGGAACGCTCTCCTCCTCTCCACCTCACCTGGCTGTCAACACATACCCCGCTCCGTACCTTTGACCTATATCGGAAGGACATTGCCATTTCCGGGTTTGTAACCAAGCGCCCAGCATCATGGCTCCCGCTGTCATCATCGCCCCTTCAATTCTATCGTCAGACTTTGCGAGATTAGCAGACGAGGCCGTCCGAATGGAAAAATGTGGGACAGAATATTTGCATGTCGATTGCATGGACGGCCACTTTGTACCAAATCTAACTATCGGACCACCCGTAGTGAAGTCACTACGGAACCACACCCCGTTGTTTCTGGACTGCCATCTCATGGTCTCCAACCCCGGGCAATGGGTTGAAGAACTTGCTGCTGCTGGAGCGAACGGGGTGACGTTCCATATTGAGTGCTTTTGTGAAGCACCGTACGATAAAGATGAACCGGGGCCATACGTTGGGCTACAATCGAGATCAGAAATCGAAGGAGCACGCGCTTTGGCAAAAAAAATTAGAGCGCTCGACATGAAGACGGGCATCGCTCTACGACCCCGGACTCCGTTGTCGGCAGTGAAACATTTACTCGATGAAGGTTTAATTGACATTCTGCTAGCAATGACCGTAGAGCCAGGGTTTGGTGGGCAGAAGTTTATGGAGAGCGTTTTGGACAAGGTCGCAGAGGCGCGGAACCTTTATCCCGACCTCGCCATTGAAGTAGACGGGGGGATATCACCAAAGACCGTGGCCAAGGCTGTGAAAGCGGGGGCGAACGTTTTGGTGGCGGGATCGGCGATATTTGGCGCCGAGAACGCGAAAGAAGTTATCGATACGTTGCGGCGGGGCGGGTGATACTGGAGACTGCACCACGTAATGTGGGTAATGAGCTGTATCATTTTGTTACAATAAATGTTTATAGTTATTTTGTTTGGGTATACAGGTCACTTATGTTGATGAATAGCTGCGCGGAGCTTGGCTGCGGAAGCACCGCGCAAAAGCTCTCTTCGTTCGCCGTCCTTGAAGAGGATGAATGTGGGGATGCTTGATATAGACATCTTCGCGGCAACGTCTTGTGAGACGTCTACATCGACGGTGAGAAACATGACATCTGTCATCTCTGCAGCCATCGCTTTATACAATGGGGCAATGGCGCGACATGGTCCACACCACTTTGCCGAGAAATCAGCGACGACAAGCTGGCCTTCAGAGGCTCCCTCAAGCGCAGCATCGAATGCGGTGCTCCCATTAACGACCTTAACCTGCTCGTCCTCGTCCTCGCGGAAGAGAGGGACTCCGCCGAAGGGTCTCTCGAAGTCGTTGCAGTACGGCTCTTTCAATAAATGTATCCTAAACAATGGGTGGGTATTCAAGCGATAAGCCACGTAGGCAGCGTACACAGCGAAGACCGGGCGAATCCCAGACCAGAGATGAAGCCAAGCGGCAGCGATTCCGAGGGCTGGGAATTCCGATGCGAAGTAGCTCGCAATCTTCTTGTCATGTTCGTGGACAGTGATCGATTCTTGGCTTTCGACGGAACCATCCGGTTTGTGGATGGATGGCATCGGAATGGGAGTCTCGTCCGGGCGACGAAGAATGGACATGAAGGTGAAGACCAAGGCTGCCAAAAGACTGAGTATGGTGACGATGAAGAGGAAGAGGGCAGCGACATTGTTTGAGAATGAGGCGGCGCATAGGAGACCGAAAATACCAGCGCGCAATACTTTCAGGAAAGGCTCAAGAACGTTTTGAAAAAACCACTCTCGGCGCGCAGAAGACGCGGTATTGGGGGAGGGCGCAGTGGCGGCAGGCTTGTCTTTTGTCTTTCGCCTTTGGGGTGATCGTTGCGGCTGGCGACGACGAAGTTGTCCTGAAGTAGACATTCTCGACAATCAAGGAATGCAAGTTAATCACCGCGCAGGGAGTGATGAGAAAAGAATGGTCGTGGCCTCCTCGGGGCCTGCACTGCAACGCAACGCAAAATGGCCAACGGTAGGAGAGGGATGAGATTTTTTTGCCAATGAGGTCGAATTACTGTATTCTTACGCAAGCAGAAGCACTATGTTGCAAGAATCTGCTACGTGTGCTGTGTACTCCTCAAGTTGTGCAAGAGCATAACAATTTCACAAAAACATCAATCATATTACAATATTTTGCCCATTTTTTGTAGGTCGGAGTTTTGTCGAAATAAAAAAAGACAAAAACAGAACAGAGTTGTTTTCAGAGACGAAAAATAAAAATGTAAGCCACCACCGAGATTTGAACTCGAGACCTCTTGATTACTAGTCAAGCGCTCTACCAACTGAGCTATAGCGGCTGATGATGGGTGGCTGGTTTCGGTAGTATTTATACCTCGTTAACTCCCATGCTGAATAAATCTAAAATTCAAGATTTTTTAAAAAAAGTTTGAACCTTCTAATTTTCGCAAGACACGACTTCTGGAATAAATCAGCTTCCCGATGTGGTCCACAGCAGACAGATGGATTCCCGCGCGTGTGCCACCGCAAGCGGCCGGCGAGTCACACACGCTCACACTCCAGCGCTCACACTCCAGCGCTCTCCAGCCAAGGTGAGATCCGGAAACCGCATCGTGAAATAGCATTTGATAGGAAGAAATAAATTAAAATGCCATGCGTGGGATTTGGACGCAACATGTGGACACGTTGCGGATCAGACGCTGTGCAAGTCTTCGTTGTACCGTAGGCTTGAACAAAGCTGAAGCCCTGGAAGACCCTCCTCGCCAGCTCACTAAAACCGCCCATTTTCCCCAAAAAAATGAACAGCTTCAAAGTACCCAACGGAAGCCGCGTCCTGCGTGTCCAGCCACGCCTTGCTCTCTCCACGCTTGAACCCGGAGTGCTGTCCAGTCCTTTCGACGCTTACCCAACCTGTACTCTCCGCGCCTTCCTTTTACTCCCTTTTTAACCTCCACCCTACCCGCCTACCCTCCGCCCCATCCTCCGCCTCGCCCATCCCCCCGGCTTCAGACGTTGCCACACACGTCCCTCTACCAGGTGCCAGCCGAAAGATGGCGGGCGCGTCTGGCAGCGGTGTCCCCTCTCCTACAGTATTGCGTAAGGTCGGAGCCCCAGCCCCACGCCCCGCTTCTTTGCCAAACTCTGGCGTACTCCGCATTCAACATGAGTTGCATACGCTCATCCGGGAACCCGTCGAGTTCATCTACGTCCATGCTGATGAATCAGACGTCACAAAGATCACTGCCCTCATCATCGGCCCTTTGGAGACACCCTATGCTGGCGGCTTCTTTCGCTTCGACATTAGGGTCGGTCCAGAGTACCCCATGAACCCACCAAAAGTAATACTCCAGACTACGGATGGCGGCCGTGTTAGGTTTAATCCCAACCTATATGCAGACGGAAAGGTCTGTCTTTCCATTCTGGGCACCTGGGCGGGACCAGCTTGGTCCTCCGCGGAGAGTTTGTCCTCCGTGCTTTTGTCTATTCAGTCTCTCATGTGTGAGGAACCATACCACAACGAGCCGGGTTACGAGACTATGGGTGACGACGACATTAAGTCAGCTTACAATGATTATATCAGATATGAGACCCTCCGCGTCTCCGTCCTTAGCACTCTCAAGCACGCGGCACACGCACGTCATTTCCCTGACGTCCTCGAACGCCAGTTCCTCCTTTGGCACGAGATGTATATGAATATTGCCAACGACTTGCGTGAGCGGAGGGACGGTTCGCAATACAAGGACGCCTTTTCAAACAGGCGCGGTACATTTGATATGAAGAATATCATCCATTCCTTAGAAACCATGAAAAAGACTATCATGGAGCGTATGGACACGCTTGACAAGCCCCCAACCGTGTTGGGCTCGGTATCCGAAAGCGATAAAACAAGTCTCAGCTACGCTGCCGACCGACTCCGTGACGACTATCGAAACCTCACGAGATCACCTTCACCAGGGGGAAGCGCAAGCCCTAGAGATGTCGATAATCCGTTTCTGTGGGATGCCACCATTCTGGGGCCCGAAAACACTTCGTATGAGGGTGGCTTTTTCACTCTGGAGATTCGATTCTCGCACCATCATCCATACCGCCCGCCGTTTGCCCGCTTCACGTCACCTATGTTTCATCCCAACATCACCACCGACGGCATCCCTGCTCTCGACCTCATCCAAACTAGATGGACCCCGAATACTCGCGTGTCCACCATTTTGGATAAACTGCAAGGATTACTGGCAGAGCCATCGGACACCCTCAACCCAGTTAACGTGCAGGCTACCAGTATGTACCGACTCAACCGTCGCGAGTTTAAGAGGAGAGCGCGGCGGCTGGCTCAAGACGGTTGCTAAAGAGAGGTTTCTATAGTGAAGCTTGAGTATCGGAGTTAATGAAGTTCTCCGACACCTCTCCAAATACTAGGCACGTTGTCTATACTTGCACACGAAGACCACCCCCACACGTCACACCCGTAGTTAGATCATTTGTTGTAGAGGTGTATGAGATGTATATGTACAGTACGGCATTTACGTTGGCTCCCAAGGCGGTTGACATTATGAAGTCACAGATGAATTCTGCCGCGGTACTCTACGGAACATTCCTTTACGACCCTTTCGCTTCATCAAACAACCGTGAGCACTCCCTGGCATGCTGTCACAATCTCTTTCCTTTTCTTTAATACACTCCATGCTAAGCTTGAAACGAATTGTGCAGCAAAATCTACCGCTTCCCTTTCCGAGCCCGCCTTACTTGATTTGGGTTTCGCTTCCCATATCCAACAACAACTGGTCTGTCGTGAGGGTTAAATCGTGCCCCAGCATTATAAAAGTTGCTCGGATCAAGGACATCAACATTCAGCCTCTCTCGTTGTTTTTCTATCCGCTTCTGCTTCACGGGATCTATCTGATCCTCGGTCAATATGAGATCTGTGTTGTGTCGCCCACCTCGTGGCAATGGGATAGGATACTTAGTTCCCCTGAGAATAGCCTTCTTCTTGGGGTTCAAAAAGACACGCGCAACGCCCTTCTTATTCACCTTGAACGCAACGCGGTGAAGCGTCGCGTTACCGCACTTCTCGCAAAACTTGCGGTGCAATTCGCGAGTAACACTAGAACATGATTGGCAGCGTAAAGCAAATCTTCTAATCTGACGGATTGTGCGACGTCCATCAACTGAGAGTAACTTCAGACCCATTTGAAGCATCGTATTCTGCATAGCAAAGTCAGTTGTGACACAGGCGACGCGCATTCGATCCTCTTTAGTCATCTCCTCTTCACCTCCGTCACGGGCGAGATGCTCTTCGACGTTCTCTTCGTTGATCCATCCAACGCCGTCGTCATCTGATATTTCCTCTTCCAAGCCGGAGCTGACCTGCCCTATTCTGCTGTCATCTTCAGCATGTGTGAGTCCTGCGTCCTGAACTGCCTCCTCCGCAACATGAAACTCGGAAGATACCCCGGGTGGAGAGACCTCGCTTGCCTCGGTTGCAGCCAGTTGTCCATCCACCCGCCTATTCTCTGGTTTGGAGACTGAAAGGGCCTGACCTTCTGCTTCAGTCGCCAGCCCCAGGACTTTCTCCTTGCTGTCATCATTCACATTAAACACAAGCTCTGTAGCAGCGCTTACTGTATCGACCTGCGGCTTTTCCACTTGCGCGCGCTTCCTGTTTCTGCTCTTCCTCTTCTTCGCCTTTTTCGGCTGCTCCGGTTTGGCAGTCGAGACCGTAGTCCAGCCGTCCTTTTCCGCCTCTTCCTTCTCCCTCCTTTCCCTCCCATCCGCTTCCCATCTGTCAACTTCCTCAAACCCGACCCCCGGGGCCGTTCTAATCTCCCCTACGACAGGAGCTTGGGCAACTTGCTTCAAGTACTTGGTACCGTTCCTCTCGACGTCCAGCATCCACGTAAGCGCTAGGACTCTCAAATCGGCCGCAGACAAGACGCTGTAATCGCCCGCATTCTTCGCGGCTTGCACGACGGCGGCAACTGCCTCGCGCGAGGGGACGCGCTGCTCGACGCAACCCAGACGGTCGAGAGCCTGCAGGCGGGCGCGCGCTCGGGCATCGCGCACTTCAGAGGCGACGTCGGGCGTTATGTAGAAGGTGACTCGCTCGTCAACGGGAAGTAGAGGGAGAGGGTCGTTGGTGTTGGGGTCGGTTAGACTGGCCAGGGCGTAAAGAGTATCAGTGCCGGCAATTAGAGCACCAGTATCGAGCACTACCCAGCGGGAAGGGGCTAATTCGCTCGGCATTGTACGCCAGGGAGATGGAAAACCGGAGCCGTTGATGGGAGTGAACAGGCATCAACGTCGTGGGGGAGCACAGTGGTGTTTCCTCTCACGGTAGGATGGCCACCGGCCGACGCAGGGAGTTTGTGCAAGACCACGGTATATTATGATCTTTTGGTACAGTATGTACTGTACCGCGCACAGTAGCAAGTTAAGTTATGACTTTGTCGTGGAGTTGTACAGCGAGGACAACGCTAGCCCTAAGCGGCCTACAGTTGGTGTATTACGCTTGATAAAATTCTGCAACTGTTCTGCAAATGTACTGTAATGAAAGAGGTATGATACATTGCAGAATTCTGCAACGTTTTGGATCAGAAAATGATTTAGTGCATTCATTGGCAATTGAAAGGTGAACCTGGACAAGGGGGCTTTTCGGTTGGAACGCAGGACAACTCAGCAGAAAGTAGAAAACAAGTGGACCATTTCAGCCGTACAAATCCAAGTCAGGATGACTTGGCGACAAGTCAGCGCCAAGCCACACGCCATGATTTGGGGAATGATTCTTCATTCGCGTAATGAAACTTGGCAAAACAAGAATCAGCACCAAATCACACTATGACTTGGGAATGATTCTTCATTCGCGTAATGAAACTTGGCAGAAAAAAAGAATCAGCACCAAGTCACACGCCATGGTTTGGCACCCTCACTATGACTTGGAAATGATTCTTCCTTCGCGTAATGGAACTTGGCAGAAATGAAATTTGGCCACTGTCCGAAAACAGGGCTGTATAAGAGAGGCACGTCAAAACTCTCTCACCACTCTTCTCTCTTCCTCAAGTCGTCGCTTGTTCTCGTTTCACAACTCAACAAGCTCCGGACGGATCATCGTCACGGCTGGCTCTCAACAACTTGCGCATTTTGCCTAATGCTGAAGAAAACCAATCTTCGTTCGGATCGGCAGGCATCTCTGGCCCAGAACCAACTCTGGAAAACCAGCCTTCTACCAGTCGCCCTCCATCTGCTGCTTTCGTCACCAAGGTCAACTCGTTGGAAACGCAGATCGCCCAGATTCTGTCGCTGCTCCAGAACCGCCTCGATGGTACGGCCCCTACTGCCGCTACCGCTGAGGATCCAGCCGCTCCGCCGGTTTCACAAGCCGCCGAGCAACCGGGTGCCAGGACCCCCCGCGCGGGCCCTGCCCCACTGCAGCTCACATCTGCTCACGCCGTCTACGCCGACCGGGGACTTCAGTTTAATCTTCCAGCTCCGACTGCTCAAGGAATCGCTGACACCGTCGCTACACGCCAACAATACAGGGAAACTGGGAAACTCAACCTCTTCCAGAAACCTGTTAACCAGGCCCCATTCTCGTCCAAACGCTTCATTCCCGAAACTGAGAAGCTGTTCGGGCGCATCAGGGAATCGGATACAAGGGACGGTTGGGAAGCTGAGGTACTCTGGAACATCTGTTACAACACAGAAACTGCCCTCGTCGCATCTCACAAAGTGGCGGAGGCTTTGTCCCCTGGAAACACTCAAGCCGCTACTGAGGCCTTTTCAGTCCTACACCACTATCTCCAAGCCTCGTACGAACGGGTGCAGGAACGAGTAGACCTCTTCTCCGACTCCGTGGAATCAGGCAAGTCCGAGGCGGTACTTCTCCAGAAGTACTTACGCCAGCAAGATCAGCCCTACGTCTCCCAAATCTACAGGGACACCAAGGAGAAGTTTGCCGAACTCCGCACCCAGGCCTACGCCAAGGAGTTCAACAAACAAACTGTTCGCAACTCAGGAACACAGGCTACAGGACGTGTCTCAAGGGGACTCTCAGGAAAAGGGGCACAGCGGTATCCGCCGCGGAACCCCAATCCAGGAGGCTCAGGCTCTTCCGGGTCTAGCTCCAAATAATGGTCCGCAACCGGACCTTTCTGTGCTATGGCGCAACCCACACCGCCAAGCACGTTTCTGGGCCGAAGGGCTCAGGGCTCCGGACTTCCTAGTCCGAGCCATCAAATTCGGGGTGTACGAGAAACCGGTCAGCTCAGCCAAATTGGCCACACGCCTCGTACTCCCCGAGATCCCGGTGGAACCTCTAGATTTGGACTGGCTACGCAACGAACTCACCGATGCCACGTGTGGGATAACTCCTCCCCGCCCTGGGTTGGGTGAGAGGCGGAGGCTTTAGCGAGGGAGCACGCGGCGCGGACGCGACGCGCCAATTGAACCGATCGGACGAGCTCGCGAAAAGGGAGTGGCTCACTGGCCGGTTACGCGCAGTCGCCCCGTGGTGCGTGAACGGGAGCGACCGGTAACGGGTTAGAAGCCAGCGCGCGCGACAGACAACCGAAAGCGGACGTACGTAGGCGCAAAAGGGACGGGGGCGAGCTTGCCCCTGTTTACTGGTGGGGACGAGTGCCAGGTCTTAACCCCGCAGAGGGACGCCTCGGACACCTGTCCCAGTACAGTAGTACAGTACCTGCTGCCTAGTGCGTGCCGGGTACTGTACACAATTAAAAAACTAGCGCCATAATTGCTACTACCGCACGGACGCTGCTACTACACGTGTTCACTACTGTAAACGCGTGTTGCTTACAGACTACCGCACGGACGACACGTGTGCTAACGCGCACACGTAACACGCGTAGACTACCGCTCGGACGACACGTGCACTACTGTACACGTACGCCAGAATACGACCGCTCGGCATGCGCGCGCGCTCGCTACACGTGAGCACAGCCGCCGACGTGTATACCGTATACGGCCGTCCGATGACCTCTGCGCGCTTGCGCCGGTCATTATACTACAGACCTCCCCCCTTAGCTTTCGCTACGTCCCCGTAGCGACCCTCTACTCGAGCGCGCGGGTCCGTTCCGGACGTTTTCTTCTATCGCGCACGATGCGGGAACAGAAGCCCCTCCGTGTGGACGATCATGCCCCCTGCGTCGTCAGCGAGCTGGCGTCATATAACGCCGCGAGTTCATCCGATTCGGAGAGCGCGTCTTCCTATTCTCCCCACGCGATCCACACTGACCCCCCAATTCTTCCCCAACACTCCCCTGCGAACTCAGAAACCTCCTCCAACAGCGACGACGACATCCCCCTACAGCGGCTCTTCAACCAACCGATGGACGTTCATCGCGACACTCCGGCTGTGCGCGCGTACAGGCAGCCGTTGAGCCCGCCTCGGGCTCCGGCAGCGACGCCGGTCGGTCCCACCTTCCAACCGCGACGACGCCTTCGCGACGGCCTGCAACCGTCCACTGGAGTGGCGGGGCCCGCGCAAGCGCCAATTGATTCGCCCGTACCGGTCGCTTCGCCACCGCTGGGCGCCCAAGCAACACAGTCCTCGCCGCTGCCCCTCGCGGGCGTGGCTTCAAGAATGGTCGAGGCGGACCCGGGGCTCCCCGTGGAGCTGCCGCCGCCTCCCATGTTTCCGCTGCCCGCTGCGGGTACGGCGCTCACAAGGGCCGCTTCCGGGGCGCCGTACGCGACGACGGCGCCGTCGAGTAGGGTAGCGCTTGCGCCGGCCGGACGGGGAGCGACAACGTCGCTGGGGCGAGTATTCACCGCCCCGAGTACCCCGGGCTGGCTGCGCAGCGGCGTCGGTTCCGTACGGTCGCTGTGGCCCGGGTCCTCGATGGACCACCGCCGCCGGCGCGCTCGCCGACGCGCTGCGGGCCGCAAGCCTCCGCTTACGGTCGAGGAGTACGTTCAGCGGAGCTTGCTGGACGCGGCGAGGTTCGCGGCCATTCCGATGGTGCGCGCGATCAAGACTCCGTCCGGACGCGGTGCCGTGGCGCAAGAGAACCGCGCCGGCGCGTGGAAGGCGCGGTGGCGTCACGCTCCGTGTCGGACGCCGGCCGCGGCGGGCAGTGACTTGCTCTACGTCCGCTGCGAGGGCGAGGAAAAGTACCACATCTCGCTGCTGAACCTCTTCGATCGGTATCGCCGCTACGAGGGCCTCGCGCCCGACGTCCGCTTGGTGGCCTTTCCGCGGCCTTTCGACAGCTGGTGCAGCGTTTCGAACCGAGCGCGGTGGGGTGAGGACGCAGCGCGCGAGAGTCGGCTGCGCTGGCGCCGGGTGGACGATTTCTTCCACATGTGGCACAGCACCGAGTTTTTCTCGGTGCCCAGCGCCGCGCGGCGTGGCCTGTACCCCGCGCTCCCGCCGAACTGGTCGACGTTCGAGGCGCCGGAGTACCTGTGCGTACCGACGCCGAGCGTCATGGCGTACGTGGCGGCGCATTGGTTGCCGCTCTGCCGATCGGAATCCGCGGAAACGGAGCGAACGCGCGTCTTGGTGCACGCGATCATGCTTTCCGAATGGGCGGTCTTGGCCTTCCTGCGCGGCTCGGTCTGCCCTTGCTGGCGAACTACAAAGGCGCCATCGAGTCCCGACTCGCGGCTGATCGCGCGGCGCGAGGAACCGTTCGGTGAGCGCAGCCTGCTCTTCCGCCTCTCGGCGGGGCTCATCGATTTAATCCGCTCGGTCGGTATCGCGGAGATCCTCGAGGGTACGGCGTTTGACGCGGCGTACGCGACGCAGCTGTTGGTCTTCACCGAGGGTATAGATTGGAGCGGCCGGCCGGACTTCGCGTGGTTCAGCTGGAACCAGCGGTGTACCCTACCGATGCCCGCCGGAGCCGAGGCAGAGACCGGTGCCGATGGTGGCAGCGCGGCCCCCGGTCCAGCGGACGCGACCGTCGCGGTCGACGTGGACGGCGCAGTCGACACGGTCGACGCGGGTGACACGGGCGGCTTGCTTGCCGATGCTGATGTCGCGCCGCCGCGCGATGCGGGAACCGGTGCGGTGGGGAGCGTCGTCGAGACCGCGGTACCGGCCCGCGGCGGATCCGCTCGCGTGGCCTCGATCCAGAGCGACTCACCGAAGGGATTAAGAGAACCCCCCAGTGTCGTGGGAATTTCGGCCCCCACCTCAAGCCCCCCACACATCAGCGTGGTGACCGGTACCGAAGGCGATCATCGTCCCGTTCCGATGCCGCCTCCTCCCGCTCCGCAACCGT